TAAATAAAATACTGTTTGGCCAATGAAACGGCAAGTTAGGCAGGACTAGGAGTCAAAGAGGATTCTGGGAAATGTAGTAGAGAAGTGATGATCCAGACAGGAAATGACATAGCAAGGAGACTCATATTTAAGTGAAGGAGAGACAGGAAGGGTCCCTTTTTCCCTTTCGCCTGCTCCAGCGGCAGGATGTGAGCCACCAGCAAGGAGGGACGCAAATAAGGCATCCGATAAGATAAGTCTTATAACATATATAGATTTATGATAATTAAGACTGAGCTAGCAGATGAGAATCCTAGTCATTGGCCAAGCAACTTTGAACCTAATACAAGTTTCTGTGTATTCATTTGGGCCTAACTCGGGCGGGCGGCTGGCATAAAGCTCACACGTGGCGGTGGGGCTCAGGCGGCTTTTGGCAGAAAGATTTATTGTAATAGTCTTCTCCACATTACCCATATGCCTATAGTCTTCTCCACATTACCCATAGGCCTATAGTCTTCTCCCAATTTCATATAGGCCTATACTCTTTTGATAAATATCTCATGCATTTTTTTGATATTATTCTGCCATGACTAGAAGCAAGAACCTAGTTTTCTGTTTTGTTTTTAGACACAATTTCACACTGAAACCCAGGCTGGCCTCAGAGCAATCTTCCTGCTCTAGTCTCAAGTGCTGGGATTTCAGGCAGGAGCTACCATGGCTGGATCCAACCACTCCTTTTTTACTGTACAATTTCAGGACTGGAGCTCATCTCAGACAACATGTGTCTAAAATACAATGACTTTCTGAAGTTATACACAGTGTTCTCAACTCACTTTTTATTACCCCACTAATTGCTGTTTTCACCTAATGTAAGTATAAAGTATGGATTATAAACTCTTCATGTCCTTAAACAACTACAAACAGCATTGTCAAAAAAAAGAAAAAGCCTTCACATGAATTGACAGATACCCAAAATGCTTACTATTCAATTTCTAGTTTATTCTCAACTTGACACAGGTTAGAGTTATTTGGAAAGAGGAAATCTCAATTGAGGCAATGCCTCCATAATGAGTTTGTACAGTATTTTCTTAATTAGTGACTGATTTGGGAGGGCCCAATCCATCGTAGGTCGTACAAGTCCCAGGCAGGTGGTCATCCTGGAGTTTATCAGAAACCAAGCTGAGCAAACCAAGGAGGGCAAGTCAGTAAGCAGCAGCAACCCTTCATGGTCTTTGCATCTGCCCTTGCCTCAAGGTTCCTGCCCTGTTTGAGTTCCTGTCCAGACTTCTTTCAGTGACAGTGTATGATCTGAGAACTGTAAGATGAAATAAACCCTTTCCCCCCCACGTTGCTTTGGGTCACAGTGTTTCATCACAGCAATAGAAACTGGTCTTTCACTTTAGCCCAGGGTAGCCTCATACTTTCTGAAACATGGATCTCAATATTATTCCTTCTCCAAGTATCTGATGACATGCTTATGGAGGGAATATATGAAGGAATGAATGATTGAACCAGTGAGTAGCTTATGACATGGCCTTTATTTGCCATAGGAACAAGGGAAAATATGAGCATGTATTCAGAATGGGACTTACCATTATTTCCTGGTAGGAATACATTTATATTTTGCTGTTAATTTTTCTCAGTTTCAGTTAGAATGAACAATGTATTCCAGAGTTGCTTTTCAATAGTTTTCTGTTTTAATAATATGAAATGTGAGCCCTGCGTATAGTTCTCATTATTCTATATATGGTTTTTAAATTTTTACTTAATGGCATTCCTTGAAACTTAACAGTACAATTCTATTTTAGTTGACTTCACTAAGTTGGTTAGAGTTGACTCCTTCTGATAAAATTCATTGCTAATATGGCATCAAGTTAATTTATTTGTAGCTGGGCTGGGACAGATACAACAAAGACACAACTAAGAAAGAGAACTACAGACCAATATCCCTCATGGACATTGACTCAATAAAATACTGGCAAATCGAATCCAAGAATACATCAGAGAAATCATCCACCATGACAAGTAAGCTTCATCCCAGGTATGCCAGGATGGTTCAACATATGAAAATCCATGAACGGAATCCACCATACAAACAGACTGAGGAAAAAAACCACATGATCATCTCACTAGATGCTGAAAAAGCCTTTGACAAAATCCAACACTCCTTCATGATAAAGGTCCTGGAGAAATCAGGGATAACAGGAACATACCTCAACATAATAAAAGCAATATACAGAAAGCCAACAGCCAACATCAAATTAAATGGAGAGAAACTCAATGCAATTCCTCTAAAATCAGGTACAAGACAAGGTTGTCCACTCTCTCCATACCTCTTCAATATTGTCCTTGAGGTTCTAGCTAGAGCAATAAGACAACAAAAGGAGATCAAGAGAATACAAATCAGAAAGGAAGAAGTCAGAGACTCTCACTATTTGCAGATGAAAAAACTCTACCAGGAAACTCCTACAGCTGATAAACACCTTCAGCAAAATGGCAGGATACAAGATTAACTAAAAAAAATCTGTAGCCCTACTATATATGATGACACATTGGTGGAGAAAGAAATCAAAGAAACATCACCCATTACAATTGCCACAAACAACAAGAAATACCTTGTTGTAACACTAACCAAAAAATTGAAAGACCTGTACTGTAAGAATTTTGAGTCTCTAAAGAAAGAAATAACAGAAGATACCAGAAAATGGAAAGATCTCCCATGCTCTTGGATAGGCAGGATCAACATAGTAAAAATGGCAATCTCGCCCAAAGCAATCTACAGATTCAATGCAATCCCCATCAAAATCCCAAATCAATTCTTCACTGACTTTGAAAAAACAATCCTTAACTTTTTATGGGGGAACAAAAGACCCAGGATAGCCAAAACAACCCTGTACAATAGAGGAACTTCTGGAGGCATCACCATCCCTGACTTTAAGTTCTATTACAGAGCTATAGTCCTGAAAACAGCTTGGTATTGGCACAAAAATAGACAGGTAGACCAATGGAATAGAGTTGAAAACCTTGATATTAACCCTATGAACACCTAATTTTTGGCTAACAATTCAAATATATATGCTATAGCAAAGAGAACATCTTCAACAAATGGTGCTGGCATAACTGGATGCAAACATGTAGAAGACTACAGATAGACCCAAGCCTTTC